ATATATATATATAATGTCATTTATAACTTTGGTAGCAAAATAAGGCAAGGCCAGTACAAGAAAATAAAACTGTAAAACAATCTCTTCCCTCTAAACCATGATGCCAAGTCATGTGACGAGCTCTGCAATCTAGGCGTTACTAGTCCCATTTTATGGATGAGGAAGGTGAAGGTAGGTAACTGGCCAGGACTCCCTGACTGGCTGTGGGGCTGGATTTAGTCCCAGCTACTCTGCTCTTTTCTCTAGTCCCTCCAAGGGCAGAACCAGAGAGCCAAAGTCCCCTTTGCTCTAGCCTTCCAGAACTAGGGGTTTCCAGGTGGCCACCATGTTGGGGAAAGGACCTCCCATCTGGGAACTCACCAGGACGGGCTCCACCAGCCTCCCCTCCGGCATGACGGAGCGGTTCATCTTGGCGATCCGCTCCAGCGTGGCCAGGGCAGCCTCCGTGTTCCCGGTGGAGACATTGAACCGAGCAGATTCAGGAATAAACTGGGCACAGATGACAAAGGACATCAGAGCTGCAACTGAAGTGGAGCCCATGGGTACAGCTATTATGGCTCCATACACTACACCGTCCCAGTTTCAGGAAGTGGGAAAGGATGTAGCGAGGGTCAAGGCGCACTATATAGCAGGGGGATTTGGAACAAGAAAAGGTCACGTCCTCCTATCGCAGGCCCATCTTGGATAACAGCGGGGTGATAATGAGCTTCCCGCCAATTTGGATCAACCTATGTGTTAATACAATTAAATTCTTACATCCAATTAGTACGTATCCTCCGCCTCAAGGCCCCCAGTGCCTCTCCATTGCTCCATCACCCCAGCCCTTTGCAGGAACCTTGGCATCTCCCCACAGTGCGACAGTCTAAAGGGGGACCACAGCAGCGGCCCTCCAGCACTCCAGAGGTGGAGGAATCAGTCCTGACTGTTGGGGTCTTCAACCCGCTGATGTGGAACACTTGAAACACCACACGCATAGCAAACAGGAAGCTGGGACCTTGAGAATGACCTTGGCCCTCTCCCTGCCTGCCCCTCAGGCCTCATACCCAGTCAAGGCAGGTCGGTTCTTCCTCAGCGGCACCCTGCTCCCCATCCCCATGGCCAGTGGGCAGTTCAGGTCCTCCTCATCTCCTGCTGGCATTGCTCTGACACTTTCTAGCTGCTTTTCTGCCCTGTTCCGTCTTCCCTCCCATCCAGTCTCCACACAGCCCCGTGACAGCTTCCCAGCACACAGTTCCTTCCGTATCTTCAGGGCCTCCGGCCTTCCAGTCCCTTCGTAATCTGGACACAGGCCGGTCTACCCAGCCTCCCACCGGTACCCCTCACTCCAGCCATTCCAGCCTACAGGTCAGCCCCGCAAATTCTGCATGTCTACACTTTCATGACTGGCTCTCCATTGTAGCCCCGCAAAACTGCCCTTGCCACACAAGCTGGTGAAGACAGATACTTAAATAAAGGAAAGGGGTGGACGTGAGAAAGATATCTGCAGGGCAAAAGGGCCACGCCACTGGGCCAGCTGTGGGGAGGACAGGAGGGAGTCCCCTGAGCTTCCTCACCTTGAAGGCCAAGATGAGGATGATGCCAGGAATGGAGGCAATGCGGATAAGCCAGCGCCACCCTATGGTGGGGATGACCACAGAGGCCAGGCCGATGATGAGCAGGGAGCCAGCCAGCCAGAACACCTGAGGGGAGAACGGAAGCTCAGACTCCTCCTCTCCAATGTGCTCCCTGCTTCCTCTCTCAGGAGCCACCCGGTCCAGCATTTTACCCCCAGAAGAGGAGCCAGGGTTCGGGTTCGACTCCCAGCACGACCCGCGGTACCTGGGAGATCTGGAAAAGTCACTTAACTTCCCCGCGGCTCCATTTGCTTGTCTGTAAGTAAGAGACTCAGCGAGACAGGGGATTCATGTCACCAAAGGTTTTAAAATCTGGGATCCAAGACACTGACTTTTTTCCTCGAATAGATAATTCACTGGTTCATAACTCAAGGTACAAAGGAGAACATTGTAAAAAGCGTCTCTTCTTTTCCCAGCTCCCTGTCATCTAGTTTCTCTTCTCAGAAGGACCCAGTATTACTCGTTTCTTACATCCTTCTAAAGCTGTGCTAAACATACACAAGTTAAGTGCTTCTCTTCTTTATCACAAATGGTAATATAGTATAAATTATGCTTTACACTTTGCTTTTCACACTGGAAAAAATATCTTGGAGATTTTATATCAACAAATAACATGGCAGCCAACTGCGACCAGGCCCCATCGGTTGGGAATTAGAACAATTCGTAGTGTTTAGCCTGAACAGTATTTCCCCTCCAGAAGATGGAAAGTAAACTCCATCCCACCTCACAGAGATGGAGAGAAGATAATACAATAAAAGATCCTGTGGGGCACTACTTAGGGTGATTATTTCATCACCAAGGAATTCAATTACCAAAAAAACACACAAGATTATTTCAGAAAGTGGTAAGGCCTATAAAGAAAAAGTAATGGGATGGGGATGGACTTGACTGATCAGGGAGGACCTTTCTGAAGAGGCAGTGAATAAGGTCAGTAATAAGCCATGGCAGCAGACCAGGTAACAGGTGATGTGGCATACGAAAAGGATGTCAGTAGTGAAATGGCAAAATGAATTTTTTTTAACTGATGGATTTGGCACACATTTTGGAGGTGAAGGTGATCGAGTTTACTGACGGACCCTGCAGTTGAGGGTCCGTTAATTGGGGGTGAGTTAGTAGGGCTTGGTGATTGATCGAATGGGGGTGAGGAAAAAGGAGGGGTCCAGAATGGCTCTTGAGTTTGTAGCTCAATGACTAAAGAGACAATGTTTGCTATTAACTGTAAGTGGAAACATGTAAATAAGAGTCTTCAGAGGGTGATGAAGAGATTAGTTCTATGAGCCTTGCATTTGAGGAGCCTGCCGAATATTCAAGTGGTTATCAGGTGGTTGGCCACGTGGGTATGAAGTTCATGGAGGTTCTCTTGGTTGTGGGTAAAGGTTTTGCGGGGGGGGGGGGTCATAGGCACATAGATGGCTAAACCCTTTGGAGTAAATTAGATGACCCAAGGAGACGTGGAAAATAAGGAGCAGACATAACCAGGAAGCATCCCAAGGAATGAGTGGCAGGTGGAAGAGAAAATGTTCACAGATGACCTTGAGCAGGACCATGCCCACAAAATAATGTTAAATGTAAAATCCAACCCCTAGCTTTTAAAAGTGTGTGTGTGTGTGTCCAACAAAGATCAGAAAAAGAAACCTGGGAGGAATGAGTTATTCAGGGCTTATTAGATTATTTCTAATTTTTTTTGTTGCCTAAATTTAGTATTAGAAACATTAAAAATAAATTAGAAAATGTTCTCCTACTGCTTTATTTATTGCCAAATATATAATGGTTCAGTGGGAAAACTTGTCATTTTCCTGAGCCCTATGAAAGGTCAGGGCTTGGGGATAATGATGGCATGAAAGATGGTAGAAGGGCATCTAGATTGACATAGCTTCTGGATGCAAAACCTCTCATCAATGGCCAGCAGGGTCTGCAGAGGGCTTGGGGCCATCCAAATCTTCTCGCCTGGAGGATGGCTCATCTGGGAGGAGGCAATATGGCAGGTTTCCACAGGCATAGGCCAATTGTAGGCTTGCAGACACTAGTATCCTTGGAAGGGAGTTGGTGGCTATGTCCCTCCACAGAGAACGTTCATGCCACAAGCATTCCTGGGCTTCTGCCATTCCAGTGAAACCAGCCATTGCTATGTTTCCTGGCTACTGAGGAATGGGTTCCTGTGTCATAATGCTGCTGTTAGATGACAGAAGTCCTGGCTCAGAAAACCTTGGAATTGTGGACTTCTAATGTGAAGCATTCCCAGTGCTCTTTGGTGGGTACCAAGCAATAGGCAGTGTGCAAATCCAAGAACAACCAATCAGCCAGGAGGAAAACCATGTACATCATATTCTATAGGATCAGGAGGCTGGACAGAATTCCTGTGTTCCCTTACCTGAGACAAGGGGAGCATGTAGCCTCGATATTTTGTAGGCAAAAATTCAGTCTTTATGATGAGCCTAAACAGGAAGGGGGGGGGGAACACAATAATTTTGTTTTTATAAAACCAAATAACTTTTTTTAACAATCGTAATTTTTCTTGTCTCAGAGATAAAGAATTAGAAAACACAGACATTCATCATTATAAAATGGTAAGAAATATGTATATGGTTCTTAGCTCTGATTCCTGCTAATATTTGGTCTTGGACCCTGGTCTCCTGACACAGGTCTCCTAAAACCGTTGGCATTTTCTGGGTGATAGAACCATCTTTTGTACTAAGGAGGTGACACTCGGTGTGCTCCTGGATGGGGGCTGGTCACTAGAAAGACCAAGCCATGATTAGAAGCTTGGGACTTTCAGTTTTCCCACCATTCTCCAGAGACAGGAGAAAGACTAGAAAATGAGTTAATGTGATGAAGCCTCCATAAAAATTTCTCAAGTATGGCGTTCAAAGAGCTTCCAGGTTGGTGAACACATCTGCATGCCTGGAGTGGGGTGCACCCAACTCCACAGGGACGGAAGCTCCTATGCTCAGGACACTTCTGGGCCTTGCCCTGTGTATATCTTCATCTGGCTGTTCATTCGTATCCTCAAATGTTCTTTGTAAGAAATAATACTATTGTCACTGTAAGTAAATTGTTTTCCAGGGTTGTGTCAGCCACTCTAGCAAATTCTCTAACCCAAGGAGGGGGTTGTGGGAACTTCTGATTTGTAGCCAAGTTAGGCAGAAGTTGTGGGTAACCTGGGGACATTCTACTTGCAAGGGGTGAAGTGGGGGAAAGTCGTGTGGAACTGGACCTTTAGCCTGTGGGGTCTGTACTAACTCTCAGAAGGACCAGAGCTGAATGGTAGGACATCCAGCAGGTGTCAGAGAATTGGTTGGTGTCAGAAGTGAAGTATTGTCAGAAGTACTGAATGTGATAGTTACCAGAGGGTAAGGGAGAAAGGGGGATGGTAGAAGAGGGGAAAGGGGGTCAAATATACAGTGATGGAAGAGGAACTGACTCTGGGTGGCAAACACACAATGAGATATAGAGATGATGTGTTACAGAATTGTACGCTTGAAACCTATGTAATTTTACTAACCATTGTGACTCCAATTAATTTAAAAGAAAATTTTTTTAAAGTACTGAATGTGCACCTTAAAGGAAAACAGAAGAGTTTTTCCTAGCTAATCATACATTAAAATATAATTGTTACAGCTGTAAAAAAATAACAGAAATGGAGCCACTTCAAAATGGAGACAGAGCTGCCATCCCAGAGAAAATACCTTGCATGTCCTACTCCTCAAACCTTTGGAATTTTTAAAAGTGGACAAAATAACCTTTGGGCCGTGCCTGAAGCAGCCCTGTATTCCAAACAACTGTTTGCAAAAAAAACAAAACAGGAAAGTAGACATCATGCCTGAAAATTAAAAGTCATGCTTTAGAATCAGTCACTATGTTCGCTTATCTGTACCTAGAGACATTTCTTCCTTAGCTGCTTACTTGCACCCACAGAAATGCCTTCTTTCTAGTCATGTAATTATTTCCCTTCCCTTTCTCATCAACACCCCTGGCCCTCCCCTCCTGATCGAAACACCATTCGGGTTTCTGCCTGAATCAGTGCTTCCCGAATAGCTAGCTATTCTTTTGGCTCAAATAAACGTTTGTTCCCTCTCACTGTGTTTTTTTCCTTTTTCTTTTCTTTTTTTTTAGGTCGACACAGCGATTCTCCATGTAAGAGAACAAGTAAATGTACACCTGCTCTTCTGTTTATATTTTTATGCCCAATGTTATTGGAAGTCAAAGTTATTTATTCCCAAAGTTACCTCTTACTATTTAAGATAGTCGCCTTATCTCTTTTTCCAAGAGAAATGTTGGCAAAATGTTCTCCGAAGCCTGATTCTCTTTTCTAAAACGTACTTGGGAAATTAAAATACAACAAGAAAAGGTAGTTCTCCCAACTAATGATGACAGTCAAAACACAGGTTTCTAATTAGGTACATATTAATTTTGTGAATAGAATAATTCTATCCGTTTTCTAATTGCTCTTCTCAGTGGCAATTTTTAGCAAGGGTTTGGGGGTTTTCACATATTTATTGGGCTGCCCCTGAGGGATGTTTTAAAATCCTAACTAACTACTCCTCCTCCAAGGCTCCAAAGCTCAGAGTGATGCTTAACTTAGGCCCCAGGGAAGAACAATTTTTCCCCCCTAACACATTAAGGTAACAATAAGTGCTTTGACACCTTGTAATATATTCTAAGGGAGCTTATTCCAAGGCACCCAGGAGAGAATAGCCTGTGGGGCTCTGTTAATGTAAGGGAGGCTCCCAAGTTGCTGAAAATTTAGCATCACACCTTTGAAGCCCACGCACAAGATACCGCACACTTACCCAAGGGCAGAAGGGCAGAGGCAGCTGCACATTTCTCCTGGTGCACCTCACCCTGCTTTGCAATTTCACTCTGACAACAGCCTTAAGTTGGAGGACAACGGCACTTTAAAATGGGTATTCCTAAATGTTGACAGGTGCTTATGGTCAAACTAAACTCTTCCAACAAGTTCCGAAGAAATGAACAGACTGTGTTTGGGTTGACATTTCTGTTCCCGACCACCTATGGTACTGTTTGTTAGCATTTAGTCTAACAAAATAGTATGCAGCTAAAGAATAATGATCAGCCTTAGGAACAAAAAACTTAACAGATGCTCCACCCAGCAGTCTGTGAGCCTCACCATCCAACACCGTGTTGATGAGCGCAGAGCTTTTAGAGGAATCAGCAGCCATCAATTAAAAAAAAAAACAACTCAAAAATAATTAGCACAAGAGAAGTTTATACCATATTTCCCCATGTAGAAGACGCACCCTTGTAAAAAAAATTTGGGGTCTAAAAACTGGGTGCGTCTTACACAGTCGTCGTAGAATTTTTTTACTTACATTTCCCACTTTTTGCGCGCTTGTTTTTGCGCTCAACCACTGTATGAGACGCACCCAGTTTTTAGACCCCAAAGTTTTCGAAAAAGGGTGCATCTTATACATGGGGAAATACGGTAAATGTGCAACTTATTGATGCTATTAATCCATGAACCACAGTGTAAGTGTCTGTGGGTGTACACAGATCTCTTTTGGAGGTCATACCCTTGTGCATGGCCAGACACGCCACAGCCGACCATCGTCCGCAGGAAGACAAACCAGATGTATGAGGGGGAGAATGAGGTCAGCAAGGAGAAGTAGGCTCCCCAAAGGAACGACATGAACAAAATCTAAAGCAAAAAAATGGAGACTTATTAATGGGACCTGCCTCCATGGAAGGTAGGGGAGAAAAACCTAACTTTTGAAGGTGATTTTTAATTTCCAGATGTTTGCTTCTCTGAGGAGCTAACCTACAGCAAGCTCACGGTTCTCTCAAAATCATCGAACAATACAATCCATGACATTCTCTGGTCTGAAAGCCCAGCCATTCTGTTGACATAAGAACATCCAAACCTGTAGAGAATTTTTATAAGAGTTGATCTGAGCCAAACTGATGACATGCCAAAAAGCAAGATCTCAGATGCTCCAGAGAATGACAGTTTTGCAGTTCTTTTCATGCATTTGGAATTAAGGAGGGAACGTAAGATTACACGGAGGTGGGGGAAAGCAAGGTGGGAAAATCTCTATGCTTGCATAGAAAGTAAAGTGGAGAGATGCATATTTCTTTACATTTGTGCATACCGGATAGTTAACATGTAACATTTACAGCAAAGACTGTTGGTATATGGGTAACAAGATCACGTGCTCCCTGGAGGGTGATTACTCCTCCGAGGGGTATGGAAAAAGAGGATCACTCTGGCATTTCAAAGGTGTGTTAACTAGATGCACAAGAACAATGAACAGGGCTTAAGGCAAAGATAAACCTTCCACTAAAGAAGTTACAGGCCTGGGTTGTGACAACCCACCATGACCTGCCTAGTTAGGGATTTATGATCAGATCACCCTGTGAGGTGACTTTCGGTCACTGGACTTGTCAGATTTATTACAGAGCCCCTTTTTCATTCACAATTCTGAGTTTAGACCATTCTTCAAAATTCTCCAACTGCACTGAGAATGCAAACACTTGCCCTCCCTGTCCACAGGGATGTCAGGAGCACAAGGAAGTATTGCATTGAAATGGGCATAAGGAGAAAATTTAAGATATTTGCTTTTTCTCTAACTGTAAGAATAATACAAGTTCATAGTAGAAAATATGGGTGGGGGGAGAAAAAGGAATAAAAATATTTAAATCACCCTTGATTCTCCAACCCAGAGAAAAGACTGTTAACAAGATTTGGTCCCATTTTCTTCCCTGTTTGTAAGGTAAGATATATTTTTAATGGCTGCAAAATATTCCACCGGAAAGATACACTGTAACACATGAAATATAGTGCATGAACATTTCCCCTATTGTTGAATGTTGAGGTGGTTTCACATTTCCTATTAATATGAGTGTGACAGTGTGCATAAATCTCTGTGGTTCTCTGATGATCGAAACAGGCTAGATTCCTGGAATGAAAACGATCAGATGAGATGGATGGATATTCTCAAAGTTCTTGATTCACACTGCCAAACCGATGGTCAGAAAATCTATACCAATAATATGTGAGGGCATCTATACACTTGCAGGCTTCTTTAAGAAAAATTCCTTATGGATTTGATGTTTGAAATGGATAAGAAAAAAAAATTGTATCTGCTATTGAGGAAAAGAAAGGGTGCTTAAGCTCGTCTGACTAAATCAGTAACCAAAGGAATATAATGGACCTCCCTAAATTCCTCACATGGGGGCTAGCCACTAACCTGCAGAATTTCAAAACTAAAGGCCAGTGATTACAGAAAGCAGTGCCTGTTCTTTCAATATCCACATTAAAAATGCATCTCAAACAGTTCCAAGGCAATTTAATAATTTCCAGACCCGACCTTATCTTTCTTATACATTCTTTCCAGAGGCACCACGATGACACGACCTCATCTTTCCTACGCATTCCTTCCATCTGATGTAAAACTGTTAACCGCTGACAGGTATGCACCCTAACTGAAACTTCGGAGGCACCAAATGTAACTTCGCTTACTTTTCTGCCTATATAAGTGCCATGCACTTCTCCTAAGTTGGAGCACTGTTTCAAGGCTCCTTGAAGCTTTGCTTTCGGGGACATAGCCCTCAGTGAGGCCCAAATAAAACTCTTTCTTAAAGTGACAGAGATTCAGTTTTCTTTTCATTGACTCTATGTAACTTTGCTTTTGCCAACTCCTGCAACAGAATGCTTTTAAGGGTTCCTTAACCATTTGTACTGCGTATGTAAAATGCCTTCGTTGTGCTCTTTACATTTGTTTGAGATACTTCGTGTTGTCATGTTAATTCATGAGTCTACAGTACTTATTTTGTGTACTTCAAAGCATACAGCCAATTCTATTAACGTTTTCCTTTGGGGCTTCTTCCTTTGTTTTATGCATAGAGAAGCCTTCCCCATGAGAAATCAGACAAGAAGAGAAGAGAGACCTGGGTTTGTAATCAGAAAACATAGATTTATGTCTTGATGTTTAATCTCAGCAGATGTGTGGCTGTGAGCAAGTGACTTCATTTTGAAGCCATACCCAAATTAACTAATGGGCAGCTGCTGATGTTTATATGTGCAAGTTCCCATATTCTAAGATGATCTAACTATGCACATCCATCAACTGCATGCCTGGGCTATGTGGACCAGGCATGGGGACAGGTACCTCAAGAAAAAAAAATGAGAAAGCAAGAAGACAAGCCTGGAATTCAGGCATGTGATGTCAGAGAAGGACATTTCCATACTTTCTATCTAGGGTGTCCGTCGAGAAATGCCCACTAAATACAAGCAGCAGTGACACAGCCACAAAAGAATACACAAACGAAAATTCCAAATTATCCTTCAAGGCCAACCTACCTTCCAGCGGCCATATCGGTCAGCCAGGAGGCCAAAGAGGACGCTGAATATCATGTAGCCAAAAAACACCATCTGGATGTGGGAGCAGAAAAAATGATCCTCTGAGCAGAGTTGTTGTAATCCACCAATGTACTGCATTCCACATTCGTGCATCTTAACTACAGGTAGGGCGGACACGTGCCGAGGGGTGGACACTGAACAGGTTTTCACAAAGCCCTCCCCTGATGCCTGTTTAATTTGTTCAGGGCTTTGGAGGCTGATGCTTCTTGTTGGGGGACCTCACACCTGGAGACACTGCCACCAGGTGGAAGCAAGTCAAAAGAACAGGTCACTGCTTGTCCCTTTGATCAAAGTGGGGCACTGGCTCCAATCGGATGTATAGTTGTGAATTTCCATTAAAAAACAAAACTCTATTCAGTCATGCCGTATTTCCACACACAAGTCGAGATTTCTAGAAGTAGTTTCCTTTATGTCATTACAGGACAAACACCAAAAGCAATCACTCATTTATTGGGTTGTCAGAAAAGTCATGACGTATTTTTTTTCTCTGTTTTTCGTCGCAAAAATGCGTTGTGACTTTTCCGACAACCCAATAGAAACACTCTTCAAAGGTGGTAGAAGCCTACTTCTTTCCCTTACTTATGCTCACCATGGTTTGTCCTATCCTGATAAAATCCAAGCGCATGTTAACCCTGCCTGAGTTGTAAAATGATGTCTATGCCTCTAGGCAGCTAATTTTTCTGCCTTCAGCACGTCCAAGCTTCACTTGCTTTCCTTCCTAGTAAGATGCCCTGCGTGACTGCTTCCAGGATAATCAAAGGAAAAGTGTCGGCTGGCGTTTCTAACCCTTTTTCCATGAAAAGGCTCTGATTCTATCT